CCCCAAAACCCCAAAACCCCAAAACCCCAAAACCCCAAAACCCCTACAAAAGAGAGTAATTTTGCAAAATATAAAATAAAGGTACAATATTTATCATTCAAATAGCTTAATTTAAATGGAGAGCAGTGATACCCGCGAGTTTATTACCAAGAGCATGCATCCAAGGCTGAGTCATGGTTATTGCACTTACCTTATGCTAGTAGAGAGAGGAATGACAGTCGAGCAAGCCCAAAAGGAGCTACTTGAGTTTGCTCTTGAAAGATTCGACGACAACGACTTCTTACTTTACTGTTTGAACTGCTACGACAAGACATCCCAGAAGTACCTTAGTAAACTTATCTGCCAAGAGACTCTCTTGGACCTGCTCGAAGACCCCCAAAACCTTGAGTTCAATCCTGAAGAAGACATCACCTTGTTAATGGTAGCTGACACAGAGAAAGGTTTCAATAAGTTCTGCAGTAAAGGGGAAACCGAGAATAAAGACATATCACAAGAGTTTGAACACATAGTCCCTTCGGTTAATTTCTTACCACCAGTAAATCCTATTAGAGAGAAAATTAGAAAGATGGCTATTGGGGATAAGAAGATTGAGTCTTCGACGAAAGAACGCTCCAGGATTACTCAAACACATAGAACGAAGGAAGTGATTGCTAAGAAGGACCCTTCAAAGGCGGGAACTCAAGGAAAACTTAATATGCTCAACTTTCAAAGTAAAACAAAAATGCCTGCTCCTAAGAACAATGAGACAAAGATTGGGGGTAAGAGAAAGAGAGAGGAGATGGAGAAAAGCCAGACTAAAGAGATTCATGTGGTTAAGACTGAGAAAAGAATTAAGAGCAAGGAAGTTCCTTCGAAAGTTTCCGCACAAAAAGCAAAATTTGATTCAAACCTTTACTCTCTAGAAGAGAGTGATGATGAGAAGGATCATAAGCAAGAGGATCCTGTACCTGAGACAAGCAGTGAGCCTGAGGATGTACCTAAGGAAGATAATGAAGATGAAAACCGTAGATCTGATAATGAAAATGAGCATCCAAATAATATCACTGAAGAAGAATCCATGGAAGTCGACTCTAAGCCTATGACAAGAACCATAAAAACAAAAGTGCTTAAAGAAGAAATTTATTTTGATGAAGAAGGGTTTGAGTGCGTTAAACAAGTGGAACATGAAATCGAAAAAGAGGTAGAGCTTGTCAAACCTAAAACATCAAATCTTGCCAAGAAGAAGCAAACTTATAAGGCACCAAGTAAAGGACAATCATCACTTAAAAGATTCTTTGGATAAATTATTCACTAAGTCCCAATTATTTGAGTTAAAAAAGGGGTTTTGGGGTTTTGGGGTTTTGGGGTTTTGGGG